TGTGTGTGTGTGTGTGTGTGTGTGTGTGTGTGTGTGTGTGTGTGTGTGTCCGGCCGGCTGGGGAGGGGGCAGCAGAGGCAAAGATTAGGAACGTGCTCATGGCACGCCTTCCAGGCTCGGCCATGGTTCAGGAAAAAGGCATCCTATCAATCCCTATGGAGACTTTCAGGTTGGCATCTAACCCGGTGCCACATAAGAGGTAGTTACGACCCCGGGTTCCTGGTCTGGACAGCCGGGCGGCCTCTCCCTCTCCGCTCCTTTGACAATCCTGGGCGGCGGAAAGGAAGTCTCCAGGCTAGCAATTCCAAAGCGCTTCAGTCTTGCCCCAAACAGAGCACCCGGACCAACAAGATCAGCAGAAGAGTCGGTTTCCCCTCCCGGAACTCCAAAGAAAGTTTCCCTGTTTTCAAGAGCGCGATTCTCGAATGAATCGAAAAACACCCCTCCGGCTAGCGTGTCCACCAGGATCGGCGCCTCCCCCCAGTCACAACCCCGGGCGCACGCGGTGCCTACCCTCCACCCCCCCCAAGCTGGCCGCCTGTCACCCCAGGGGACGCCGACAGGGGGTCACCCGCCGGGCGACCGCGGCGCTCCTCCAAAGCTCCCCTCTGCAGCCACGTTTGCCAGACAAAAAGAGGCCGAATTTGGAGAAAGCGTCTCGGGCTCACCTCGGGGCCGCGCTCCACCGGCCTCGCCGTCGGTCGCCGAGCAGCCAGCCGCTCAGCTGGGCGCCACCGAGCATTGTTTGGAGAGTGTGTGCGCACCGTGCGTGCCCGGCCGCGGGCGGGTGTCGTCTGGGAGCTCCGCGGCCGGGTGGCAGCTGCGAGCGCGGCTCCGCCCCCTCCGCCTCCGGTGACGCCGCGCGCCGGACTCCCGCCGCACCTCCGCAGTCCCCGCCGCCCCGCGCCCCCAGCCCCGCGCGCCGCCAGCTCCCTCCCCGCCGGGCTGCGGCTCGCCAGCCTAGATTCCTCTAAACTCTCCACGCCCCGCACCTCCTCCCTGTCCCCCCTCGGGCTCCCGACCGTGAAGCTCCGCCCCAGCCGGAGACTTGAAGCGTCTGACCCGGAGCGGAGCCCCTATGTGCACCCCCCTCCCCAACGATGGCTCTGCGCGGTTCTGCTGGGGCGAGTTTCGGTGTTTGCAGCCTTCTACGCTGTATGCATAGGTGTCCTTTCATCCAGCCAGCTCGGCGAAACCCTGGGGCGCGGGGGTGGGGGGCGGGGAGCTAAAGCACCGGCGGTGGGGTGGAGGAACCAGAAAGCGAGGGGTCGGGAGTGGAATGATGAGGTCAGGATTCGAGACAGGACCCGAAAGCTGCGTGGGCACCACGATCGTCAATTACCATTGCCCTTGGGAGGAGGGTGGCGCCAGACAGGACCGCCTGGGAATCCCGACGGCGTGTTCCAGGTCCTGATCAGTCAGTCCCTGGACTGATTCGAGGCCTCGGGCAAATTACTGAATCTCTTTGAATTTTGGTTGTCTGGATGTGGAATGCAAGGGTTGGACTGGAGAGAGCTGATCTTCCACGACGGGGGTACTGTCAGGTATTCGCAGGCCAATATTACACCTGTGTTTACAACGTTTCCATTAAGTGACTCGTTCACTGAGATAGAACGGGTTCGAGACAGTCCTAGGGCTAAAAATCTTTTTCACCGGGAGTACGGCAGCCTACGACCCAGTCAGTCCCCTTACCTTCCTCTCGCTGCCTAAAACAGGCTCACACCTTGACTTGGGTGTGTCTTCGTTGCCAGCGCCAAGGTCACCAACGTGTGCCTGCCTGGGTTGGGGGAACAGGAAGAAGATCCGGGAAAACACCTGCGGCCTCCTCTCTGCCGCCCCCGCCCCCTTCGCCACCCAGCCATCCCCAGGGAGGTAGTGTATTGTAATTCCAGTTAGGGTTCTCAGCCTGCCAGGATGACCCTGTCAGCTTCCACCCCGCTGGGAGGAGGAAGGTTGGTTTCCTCTAGATTTCTGCTCTCTCCTTGTGACCTGGCCGTGATGTAACAGGACTGAGGTTGAGGAGGCAGGTGGAGGGGAGAGAAGGAGAAGACATGTTTTTGAGGTTTAACTTCTGTGTGAGAAAAGGAGAAAGGTAGAAGGGATCATAAAGAATACTTCCTCATGCTCCAATGTCTCCAACTTCTCCTGAGTATGAATAGAATTTGGGGGAAGATGTAGACTGATGGAACTGGAACTAACATTCCTTAGGTACCAACCCTGTGTCAAGCAATCCCACAAGAGGGACATCATCCCCATTTTATAAAGAAGTAAACGGAGGTGCAGAAGACCACATAATTTGCCAGGGCCGGTCAGCTGAATGGTGGTAGTACCAGGATTGGACCCCAGAGCTGTTTAGCTCCACTGATGGGTAATTCCACTGTGCCATACTGCCCTCTCCAAGTATTGAGAGTCCAGCCCTATTCTTCTTTCTTTCCAAAGTAAGAGGAAACCATATGAACAAACATGGAAGGAAAACTCTGGTTAGGCTCCATCTTCATCCAACAATGCTGAAGGGTCCAGCTCACTCGTTTACCAACACCCAGGAAGCAGATAAGTACAGAATGATCTGTGCTGGAGAAATGTAAAACAGTGACATTAGAAGGGGCATGCAGTTCAGTTACAGTAGGAGAGGGCAGAGCTAGGTGTTTTGAGAAGTTCCCGGTTCCCATGATTCAAGTTAGATATTTCAGTTCTTCCTCTGAGGATCTCCGCCTCACAGGATTGAGCACATAAGGGGCACTCACTTTCCCACTTCATTTTCATCTCTTTACCTAATTTATCCTTAATACACAAACAGGTTAAAGAACGTAATTATCAGAAGCAAAGTCTTGTTAGTGTGACAAGACTGGTGGTTCCGTGGCAATTGAAGGGTTAACCCAGTCTTTCTGCAAAATGAACTGTGTTCTGAAGTGTTTTGCTGTGCTCACACAAAATAAATGCATTATACTGTAGTTGCTGACACATAATGTGCATCTTTTTATGCCAGAGACATGTCCTTAAGGATGGCTTCTTCTTGCCTAATGAAAAGAATAAAAAACTACTTCAAAAGACTCACTTAGATCCACATAAAATGCCCATTTTCTTGTGCAGTGCCCCATCAGTGACCGTTAAATACCTTATCTCCTTAGTAAAGCTACAGTAAGCTCATGCATTTTAATAAACAATTCTTGCTGGAACTTCCAAACTGTACCCTGCAATGCAGTGTAATTTGTGTATACACAGCATTCTGCTTCTAGCTGCTTATCAGTCCATTTTCACAACACTTTTAACTGCAGGGCTTGGGATCCCTGATACAGATCAGATCTTGAAGAGGAACGGCTCCCTTCACAGTCTTAGTCCATGGGCACCATATGGTACAAGAGAGCAGTTGCATTTCAGGAAATAAGGACAAAGGCTGGGACAGGTGGTGCTTGGGGGATGGGTAAGGTAGTTTAGAATTAGAAAGGCAAAAAGGCAGAATGAGGAAGTGTACAACATTATACAGTCATATGCCACATAACAACCACATTTTGGTCAATGATGGACCACCTATATGACAGTGATCCCATCTTCCTCTGCGAAGCCTGTCATCATTAGAAATGGGCCCCCTCTGTGTGTGTGTGTGTGTGTGTGTGTGTGTGTGTGTGTGTGTGTGTGTGT